GGGATTTATTCCAAGCATGCTTCACCTTCTACAAATTTTTAAACACATCGAAGGATAAAAATCATGTTCATCTCAATAGATGTAAAAAAAAAAAAAATGCATTTGTTAAAATTCAAACCTGTATATAAAACTCAACAAAGTGGGTATAGAGGGAACATACTGGACCACAATAAAGGAGATTTTATATATATCTCAAGTGCACAGCTAACACCAACTGTAAAAAGGTGGGAGCTATTCCTCTAAGTCACAGTGTTTCCCAAAGTGTGGTACACGTATCCCTAGGGGTACGGGAAGAGTTTGGTGAGGATATGCACTGCCCCGTGCTTAGCTCGCCTAATTCTATGTTCTCATGAGTACGAGGGGTACTCAGCATTATGAAAATTATAGAAGGGGTACACATACATCAAAAATTTGGGAAACACTGCTCTAAGATAATGAACAAGACAAGGATGCTCACTCATTTATTCAACATAATATTGGAAGTCCTAGCCAGAGCTTTTGGGCAAGATAAAGAAAGATATTGCCCGGCCAGTGTGGCTCGGTGGTTCAGCATTGACCTATTAACTGGGAGGTCATGGTTCCATTCTCCATCAGGGTAACTGCCTGAGTTGCGGTTCGAGTGGGAGGCAGCCACTCACTGATGTTTCTACTCTCTCCCTCTCCTTTCCTCTCTGAAATAAAAAAAATATGTACTTTTTTAAAAGTTACAAAATTACTTTTAAAAAATCAAGACATTGATATTATGAAAGGAAGAAGTAAAACTGTCTATTTGTAGATGTCATCATTTATAGAAAACCCTAAAGATTCCATCAAAAAACTTAAAATTAATAAATTCAGTAAAGTCTTATGATATAAAAAAATCTATACAGAAAAATCAGTTGCATTTTACTACACTAACAATCAGAAAGAGAAAACACCCCCATTTATAACCATACCACAAAGAATAAAATACCAAGGAATAAATTTGAGGTGAAAGACCTGTTACACTAAAGACATTGATGATAGCATTTAAACAAGACACAAATAAATGGAAAAATAGTCTGTGTCCACGGATAGGAAAAATTAATATTGTTAAAAGACTCAGTCTACCTAGAAGTAGTCATTGTGGATAAGGGGGCATATGTAATACTTTTAACAATAGAGATTTTTAAATGTTTAAACTACCAAAAATAGTTTACAAATTCGATTCAATTTCTATCAAAATTTCAATGGCATTTCCACAAAAATAAACAGTCCTAAAATTTGATTGGCAGATGAAAGGGGGTAGAGGAGGTAGAAGAGGGTAAAGGGGAGATAATGGTGATGGAAGGAAATTTGACTTAGGGTGGTAAACACACAGTACAATATACAAATGATATGTTGTAGAATTGTGCACTTGAAACCTATATAATTTTTTAAGCAATGCGACCTCAGTGAGTTCAATAAAAAAAGAAAACAACCATATGATTGAACAATTCCACCTCTGGAAATATGATCAAAAGAAAAAAATAGATATCTGTAAGTCCATGTTCATAGTAGCATTATTTATAGTAATGAAGACATGGAAACAATCTAAGTGTCCATCAACAGATGAATGGATAAAGAAGAAGATGTATCTATATATAGTGGGATATTATTCAGCTATGAAAAAGAAAGACATTCTGCCACTTAGGACAACATGGATAGAACTTGAAGGCATTTTTATAAATGTAATTAGTCAAAGATTATGATCTCACTTATATGTTAACATAAAAAAAAAATTACCAGCTCATAGATCTAGAGATTGGTGGTTGACAGAAGTAAGGGGTGGGGAATGGGTGAAGTGGGTAGACATAGTAAAAATAAAATAGACCCTGGAAATGTAATGTTCACTATAGTGACTACAGTTAATAAGGATATTTGAAAGTTGCTGACAGTAGATCTAAAAATTCTCATCACAAGAAAAAAATTGTAACCATGGGAAGTAATGGATGTTAACTAGACTTATTTTAGCGATATTTCACAGTACATACAAATATCAAATCATTATGTTGTGTACCTGACACTAATAAAATGTTATGTCGGTTTTATCTCAACTAAGAAAAAGTGTTCAGGATAGACCTAAGTAAGAAATAATATTTGAGCAAAGACTTAAAGACAGTTTGGGGATATCTGCAAGAACAGCATTTCAAATAGAGGATAATATCTGAAATTAGGAGTGTCCCAGCCATGTTTGAGCAGGAGAAAGGAATCTAGTGTGGCTGAGGGGGTGAACAAGAGTGAGATTAGTGGGAAGTCCCGGGTATGGGCCCCAAAAATAAAGAGGCTTGGAAAGTGTTATAAGGATCACAGTTTCTACTCAGTGAAATGGAAACAGCCATGATGTGAAGGAACACTGATTGCTATGCTGACACTAAAACAGAGAGGAGCAAGTGACAACCGCTCAAAAGGCTGTTTCAATAACAAGGGGATGAGAAATTGTCCCATCTGGATCTAAAAACTGCTAATTAGAAGTATTTTGTTTTGTTTTTAAAAACTACTTGCTAAGATTTTTTTATATGCTTTTATTGATTTCAGAGAGAGTAAGGGAGAGGGAAAGAGATAGATTAATGATGAGAGAACCATTGATCAGCTGCCTCTGAATGCTCCACACTGGGGAGTGAGCCCAAATGTGACCTGTTTCATAGGTTGACACTCAATCACTGAGTCACACCGGCTGGCCTATTTGTTAAAAATTTTTAATTTTATTATATTTCAAATACAAATCTGTTTTAAACACAATGGAAAAGTATGTATTTAAAATGTACCTGAAATGTGAAGAGCTAAATGTTGTCTGTTTTGTGTTTTTTGAGAAAACTTTGTCAGTGATTTTTTAGAGAGTAACGTCTTAGTGTTCCTTCGAAACAAAACTGTAACAGTAGCATTCAGGAAAATGTTGTTTAAAAATTGGTTTCTTAATACATTGTCTCTATTTGTACAAGCTTTGCCACAGGAAATCTACACAGAGTTGTCCAAAGGTAAAACACATTACTGCCATGACATTTTTATCATCATCTTTATGATGTTTGTAGTGAATATATACATAAATATATAATATTTATTTGCTTTACAAGAAGGGAGATAGAATCACTTGATTTTTTTTTAATTTATTGATTTTTTTAAAGAGTGAAAGGGGAGAGACATCAATTTGTTGTTCCAGTTATTTAAGTATTCATTGGTTGCTTCTTGTATGTACCTGACCAAGGATCAAACCTGCAACCTTGGCATATTGAGATGGATGCTCTAACCAACTGAGCTACCCAGTCAGGGCCACTAGATGTTTTAAAGGTATTTTGGTTGCCCTAGCGGGTGTGGCTCAGTTGGTTGGATTGCCTCCTGTACACCAAAAGGTGGCAGGTTCAATTCTCGGTCAGGGCACATACCCAGATTGCAGGTTCTCTCTCTGGTTGGAGCATGTGTAAGAGGCAATTGATCAGTGTTTCATACTCTTTCTCTCTCTCACTCCCTCTCTCTAAAATTAATAAAAATACAAGGTATTGTGGTTATTGTTGAAGAGAAGATGAACAGTAGAGTTATGAAATGCTGAAGACCCTTCTTTTAGCCTGTAAATAGTGTTTAAGTCAGATAGCACCACCTTGTGTAGTAGCTTTCATGATTACACAGTTTTAAAAGATTCCTCCTTAGCCTAAAATGGTTTGGCTCAGTGGATAGAGCGTCAGCCTGCGGACTTGAAAGGTCCCAGGTTCGATTCCAGTCAAGGGCGTGTACTTTGGTTGCGGGCACATTCCCAGTAGGGGTTGGGCAGAAGGCAGCTGATTGATGTTTCTAACTCTCTCCCTTCCTCTCTGTAAAAAATCAATAAAATATATTTTAAAAATAAGTAAATAAATAAAAGATTCCTCCTTATTTTATCACTAGATACGAATTTCTTCTAAGTTAAGACTTTGCTTCTGTTAAAATGAACATAGCCATCCTAACTGGTTTGACTCAGTGGATAGAGTGTTGGCCTACGGACTCAAGGGTCCCAGGCTTGATTCCAGTCAAGGGTTTGTACCTTGATTTTGGGCACATTCCCAGTAGGGAGTGTGTAGGAGGCAGCTGATCGATGTTTCTCTCTCATCATTGTTTCTAACTCTATCCCTCTCCCTTCCTCTCTGTAAAAATCAAAATATATTTAAAAACCAACAACTCTTAGCTTTAAAAAAATAATAATAATAAAATGAACATAGCCATAAGAATGGGTAACCGATAAACTGTTTTATTTCCCTCATAATTTGTGTTAAATTTAAATTCATTTGCCAAAATTGCTAACTACCAAAAAAGACTCTGTAGGAATGGAGCAAGGATTAGAGAGATAGCAATGGAAACAGCTGATATTTGTAGTGGTGTTCCAAGAATAGAGATTAGAAAAGTTCAAAAATAAATATATCATAATTAATTTCTGGTAAGCATTATATATGATTAAAATTAGAAGATAATTTAGCATTGATGTGAAAACTGTCCTACATCCTGGATGTTGGAGGAAAGGTTTTCACTTATGCAGAAAGCACAAAATAAAAGCATTGGGTAAAGAATCCATTTTTTTATTTATTACTGAAAGTATTGCTATTTTTTAATGTTTAAAAGCAATTTTGTAATAGCTCTGATTTTATTTAAGCAAGCTTCTGTGATAATACCAATTTTTTGCTTTCAAAAATATTATTTTTGGACATATCTAATTTATTTTGTTACTCTTCATATCTGGCAAATTTTTATTGTAAAACCACATAAGAGTACATCCTAGACGTTGACTATCTTTATTTTTTATTTTTTAAATATATTTTATTGATTCTTTACAGAGTGGAAGGGAGATAGAGAGTTAGAAACATCGATCAGCTGCCTCCTGCACACCCTCTACTGGGGATGTGCCTGCAACTAAGGCACATGCCCTTGACTGGAATCAAACCTGGAACTCTTCAGTCCTCAGGCTGATGCTCTATCCACTAAACCAAACCTAGACATTGACTATCTTTAGAATTAATACTTTTTTTCTCTTTTCTCAGAATGAACTCACAGATACACGTGCCAAATTCCATGTACTTTTTCTTTTCTTTGTGTCTACAATGTTCTTCATCAGCGTCTTATCACTCTTCAGCTATCACTGCTGGCTAGTTGGAAAAAATAGAACAACAATAGGTAAGTAGGTCAAAATAAGTCATAATGATTTAGGGAAATGACCATAAGTAAATATGAAATCTAGAGAAGGGCAATAGATGATAAAGAAGTGTAAAATAATTATATGTGAAAACCCACCATGACTGGACAGGAACAATGAATATATGTAAATGTAAAGGTTCATTCTTTTAAAGAAGGTTGAAGAAGTTAGATTGACTTTTACATATTTTTTCAATAGCTCATCCTAATATATAAAAACCCTGGGTCCGTCACAACTGGAGGCTCCACCAACCGGAAGTCAGTCTTGCAGTCAGCAGGCGTAGTGACTGACCCAGCACAGACTGCTGAGGGGGCTGCGAATCAGTCCCAGAGAAAGGCCTGAAGAGAGAAGCAGGGTCTGATCCGTAGCCTCTGTGACAACTGTTGATCAGCGCTTGCCTCTCTCTTTCTCTCCAGGCCTGGCCAGCAGCTGCGCCTCCATTTCTCTCCAGGCCTCCACTGGCACTGCTGGTCAGCCCCACCTTTCTGATCAGGCCCTGTTGATAGGCCCAGAGATGCTAACTGGCATAGAAACTGACCAATCAGAACCAAATCTGGGTGAATTGTGAGGAGCCAATGGCTGCTTAGGAGGCAGAGCTTTTGATGCTGACTGGCATAGGAACGAACCAATCAGAACCAAATTGGCTGGCAGAGGAGGGCAGTTGGGGCTGAGATCAGACTGGCAGGGGAGGGCAGTTAGGAGGATCAGGCAGACAGAAGCAGATGGGGACAAGATCAGACCAGCAGGGGAGGGCAGTTGGGAGGAGACCAGGCTTGCAGGGGAGGACAGTTAGGGTCCATCAGGCCAGTAAGGGAGGGCAGTTGGGAGCAATAGGGCTAGCAGGGGGGCAGGCAGGTGTTAATCAGGCCAACAGGGGAGAGGTTAGAGGCAATCAGGCAGGCAGGCAGGCAAGCGTTTAGTAGCCAGCAGTCCCAGATTGTGAGAGATGCCTGACTCCCCCCGGGGGTCCCAGATTAGAGAGGGTGCAGGCTGGGCTGAGGGACACACACTCCTCCACCCCAGTGCACATATTTCATGCCTCTAGCTGTATGTAAAAGTAGAGAACAAGCCATATTTTATAAATGTTAATACAAACTACTTCCTGGGAGATGAAAAATGGTGGTGAAGTAGTGGATATTGCACCAACATGTTCCCAGGACCAAACTGGAATTACAACTAAAATTAAAAATAAAAAAAATTCTGAATAATCAACTAAAGACTAGCTTGAGAGAACCCTGATAATCAAGGATGAAAAGTGGGAGACCATATAGAGGCTGGTAGGAAGGACAGAGGCACAAAAAGGCTGGCTGGCTCCCATAGATAGCAGCTGAAGTTCTGGAGAGAGATCTTAGCTATGGGTGGTTGCCACTGAGAAATCTGGAGTCTAAATCCCAAGCTGGATCCCACAGCAGAGAGCAACAGAACTGAGAAAAGTGCCCACATAACATCTGACTGTGAAAATCAGATTTGGTGTCTGCCAGGGAAAGAGCTGGAAATGCAAGCACCCTCTCAAAAGACCCACGCACAAGATTTCGTTTGCAGCCACTCACCTTGGGCTCCAACACGGGGAGGGCAGAGTGGACTGGAGCTGTGTGACTAGGAACCAGGGTTGGGGTATCTGGATTTAGAGCTCAGATGGCAGATACCTCGGTTTCCTGTGCTGGATCATTCCCTCACCTTGTGGAGGTCATCTTTGTCAGGCAGACTTTGGCTATCCAGGCAATTTTTGTCTAGGAAAAAAGATAGTTGATCCACCCTAGTGGAAAGCCCCTTGCCCACCATGTGGAATTTCTGCAGCCCATTAAAAGACAGAATAACAATTAGCCTCTAGGTAGAAGCAATTGTCCACCTGTTGACAAACCTTGCATTGCACCTGTGGATGATTGATTATCTGAGGGCTACTCAAGAATAAATCCAATCAGTCTGTAGAGAGTGGCATTCTCTGGAGGCCTTGAGTCTTTGCTAGATCTAATTAATTAGAAACAGCATTTGACACTGTCTTGCACTTGAGATTGGGTGTTGTAACAGATCTACCTAGTACATAGTTACAAATCCAAATAGGCAGCCAAAATGAGAAACACCCCCCAAATGAAAGAAGAGATTTCTCCAAAGAAGAGCTAAATAAATTAGAGATAAGAACTTTATCTGATATAGAGTTCAGATGCTCAACAGCATAAGAAAAGATACAGTAACTACAAAGAATGATAGAATTAATAAAGAACATGGGAAGGAATACACAACAGAATAGGAGAAGCAGAGCATCGTTTCAGTGAATTAATAGATGGAGTAGAAAAAAAATTACATAGAGAACCAAAAAGAAAAACAATTATAAAACTGGAGGACAGCTTAAAGGAGCTGTGGACAACATGAAATTTAATATTTGCAGAAGAAGAGAGTGAGCAAGGCATAGAAAATGTGCTTGAAGAAATAAGGGCAGAAAATTTCCCTAACCTGGTAAAGGAAAAAGTTACTCAAGTTCAGGAGGCACAGAGAGTTCCAAAGAAGAACTCAAACAGCCCCACATCTGGATACATCATAATTAAAATTCCAAAAGAGAGAGAGAGAGAGAGAGAGAGAGAGAGAGAGAGAGAGAGAGAGAGAGAATATCTTAGAGGCAACAAGAGAAAAGAAATTTGTTGCCTACAAAGGAGCTCCCATAAAGCTGTCAGGTAATTTTTCAGAAATTCCATAGGCCAGAATGGTGAGGCATGAAGTATTCAAGGTAATAATAAGCAAGGATCTGAAACAATTAAGATTGCTATATTCAGCAAGGTTATCATTCAAAATAGATGGTGAAATAAAGAGATTCCATGACAAAAAAAAAAAAAAAGGCTAAAGGAGTTTATCACCACCAACCCAGCATTGCAAGAAATGCTAAAGAGACTGTTATAATGAACAGAAATAGGGGGAAATAGAAACCTGGGCATACAGAATTAAAATGGCAATAAATAAGTACCTATCAATAATATCCTTAAATGTAAATGAATTAAATGCTCCAATCAAGAGACATACGGGTACTGAATGGATAAAAAACATGACCCAATTATATGCTACCTACAAGAGACCCCCCTCAGAACATAAAATATAAACTGAGAATGAAGGGATAGAAAAAAATTTTACATGCAAATGGAAACAAACAAAAAATACCGCCGAAACCGGTTTAGCTCAGTAGTAGAGCATCGGTCTGCGGACTGAAAGGTCCCAGATTCGATTCTGGTCAGGGGCATATATGTTGGTTCCGGGCACATCCCCAGTACGGAGTGTGCAAGAGGCAGCTGGTAATGTTTCTCTTTCATCGGTGTTTCTAGCCCTCTCTCTCTCTCCCTTCCTCTCTGTAAAAAATCAGTAAAATATATTATAAAAAAAAAAAATACCTGGGGTAGAAATACTCATACCTGACAAAATAGACTTCAAATTGAAGGCCGTCACAAGAGACAATAAAGGTTACTACATAATATTAAAGATAATGATCCAACAACAGGATCATTGGTAAACATATATGCACCCAATATAGGAGCATATACACACACACACACACACACACACATATACATATATATATATATGAGAGAGAGAGAGAGAGAGAGAGAGAGAGAGAGAGAGAGAGAGAGAGACTGACTTCTAGAGGACTTTCAGGGAGAGGTCAATCAACAGCAATACATTCATAGTAAGGGACTTTCACACTCCACTTACTTCACTGGACAGCTCTTAGAGATAATAAAATTTACAAAGAAACAGGGACTCTAAAATACACTCGATCAGTTGGATTTAATTGTTATTTATAGAACATTTCATTCTAAAGCTACAGAATATACATTCTTCTCAAGTGCACATGGGTTATTCACAGTAGACCACATGTTAGGACACAAAACAAGTCTATACAAGTTCAGGAAGAATGAAATCATATAAAGCATAGTCTCAGATCACAATGGATTGTAATTAGAAATCAACTATAGTAACAACACTCCAACACCTGGAGGCTAAATAGCATGTTATTAAATAATGAATGGGTTACCAATGAGATCAAGATAAAAATTAAAAACTTACTGGAAGCCAATGAAAATGAACACACTACAGCCCGCAATCTATGGGAAATATCAAAAGCAGTCTTTAGAGGGAAGTTCATAGCACTACAGGCCTACTTCAGAAAACAAGAAAAATTAATAATAAATTAACCTTAAAACTAAAAGAATTTTAGAAAGATTACAATAAGAAAAGCTCAGAGTAAGTAGAAGGAAGGAAATAATAAAGATCAGAGTAGAATTAAAGGACATAAGAGACTAAAACAAAAGCAATATAAAAAGTCAGTGAGCCCTAACTGACTTGGCTCCAGTGGATAGGGCATCAGCCTGCAGACTGAACGGTCCCCAGTTTGATTCCGGCCAGGAGCACATGCCTGGGTTGTGGGCTTGATCCCCAGTTGGGGGTGTGCAGAAAGCAGCCCATCGATAATTTTCATCATTGATGTTTCAATCTCTCCTCCCTTCCTCTCTGAAATCAATAAAGAAATACATTAAGCCCGACTGATTTGGCTCAGTGGATAGAGGGTTGGCCTGCGTACTCAAGGGTCCCAGGTTCGATTCCAGTCAAGAGTATGTACCTTGGTTGCATACACATCCCCAGTAGGGGATGTGCAGGAGGCAGCTGATCAATGTTTCTCTCTCATCATGTTTCTAACTCTTTATCCCTCTCCCTTCCTCTCTGCAAAGCATCAATAAAAAACATTTAAAAATAAATATATATATTAAAAAAGAGTCAGTGAAAGCAAGAGTTGGTTCTTTGAAAGGATAAAAAAGATTGATGAACCATTAACTTGATTCATCAAGAAACAGAGAGGAACCAAATAAATCAAAACAAAAGTGGAGAAGTAACCACTGACGGCACAGAAATACAAAGATGGCAAGAATATACTATGAACAACTATATGCCAACAAGCTGGAAAACATGGATGAAGTGGACAAATTCCTAGAGAAATAAATTC